CAGGCACCCTGGAGGTCAGGGAGACCTCCTTGGCCGATGACATACCCCCACCCCGATCGACCCATTCCTCCCGTCTGAGTCGCTCTTCCTCCCTCCCCCCTGAGTCAGTTGCCCTTGCTTTCCCCTTTCGCCCGTGTTCTCTCCCCCCCCCCCTCCCCTCCCTTGCTCACATTCTCCCATCGCACTCCCTCCCCTCCCTCTCTTCTTGTCTGTTGTCCTCCTTGCCCCCGGCCCTCCGCCCCCCTCGCACGTAGCCGCGCGTCTCCCACCTGCCTTTCGCTCGGCCACCCCCACCCACCATGACCAAGGTTTCTAAGAAGTCCTCCAAGGAGGAGAGCTCCTCGAAGAAGAGCAAGACCTCCTCCTCTTCCTCCGAGAAGACCGAGATCAGCTACGAGGACCGCGTCAAGAACGTCAGCGAGATCGCCTCGCCTCTGGCCTCCAAGAAGATGACCAAGAAGGTCCTGAAGACCGTCAAGCAGGGTACGATGCTCCCCCTCCCCCTCGCGCGCACACACACACACACACACCCTCTCTCTCTCTCTCTCTCCATCCGCCGCCTCTCCAGCTGACCTGTTGTTTCTTCCCCCTCTCTCTCTCCCCCCCCCCCCCACGGCGCTCTCGAAGCCACCTCCTCCAAGCAGCTCCGCCGCGGTGTCAAGGAGGTCATCAAGGCCCTCCGCAAGAAGGAGACCGGGTGCGAAGCAGGCCCCTTCCTGCCGATTCTTCCCCTCGCGTTTGCGCCTCCCATGCCATTGCCCCGTTGCTTACCCCGCCTGTGGTCCCCGCTCGTCCCCGCTCCCCTCCCTCCCCAATGTCCGCCCCTCACCCCGAGCACAGTGTCGTTGTCTTCGCCGGCGATATCTCCCCGATCGACGTCATTTCCCACATTCCCGTCCTGTGCGAGGACAACTCCGTCCCCTATGTGTTCGTTCCCTCCCGCGAGGACCTCGGCGCCGCCGGTGCCACCAAGCGCCCGACCAGTGTCATCATGCTCCCGAACCCCAACAAGAAGCTCGACTCCTCCTACGCTTCGGCCCACTCGGAGCTGGTCACTGAGGTCAAGGAGCTGCCCTCGGTTCTCCAGGCCTAAGCGCACGTATGTGTCGCCTTCCGTATGACTTCACCCCCCCCCCCATCCCTCGTCTCCCCGAAGTGACCCTCCCGCGCCCCTCTTCTCTTTTTATGACCCCCCCCCATATACATGTACACTCGTAGCTGGTCGTGCGGGGCCTGCTTCTTTCATATACAAACACACTTGTACCCAATAAAACTTCCGACAAAGCCGATGTCCCACCCTTCTCCGGGAACCGAGCGCCCCCGCCAAGCAGGTCAACATGCCCGGAGTGCTTGCCAGCCGTGGAGAACGCGCGCCGACACCCTGCAAAAAGGCAGACCACAACACTCGGAGAAGCGCTCAGTACGCTTCGCTCCCCTTGCGATCTCGGGGGACCGTGGTCAGCTTTGTACTTTTTTTTGGTTGGCTCTCCGCCCCTCTCACAAATATCCGGGCACAACACCCTGTCTGCGAGTGGGCATCTTCACGCGCATTAGGCAAAAGGCCAGCCCTGAGCGCTGACAATGATGAAGAAAGGCTCCACGCTGGAGCGGCCACCCAAGGTCGGTCCATGGATGGGGGAGGAAGGAGTGGAAGGAGCGGCGAGAGAAGACGGCAAGAGAGGCAGAGAGAGATACCCTGGCAAACTGGACAACGTGCAAGGAGGGGCGAGGAGGTCTCCATTTTAATAAAAATGTGCGCATTAACCACTCATGTTGGATGTGCTTCAGAACGGGCCCGGTGGAAGTGGGGCTGGGTCGTGTGATCCTGCCATATCCACGAGACTCTTCTTCGGGGGAGCTGTTCCCCCTGCGCCGGACGCCGTCCCGCTGGGACCCCTCCAGCCGAGCCGCCTTGGCCTGATACCCACCACACAGGCGGGGAACATCCCCGAGCGGCCACATGTGGAGCGCCTTCGAGGAGGTGGGCAAATGGCCACCGAACATGCTGGCGCCCGGACGCAGCCTGAAGGTCAGGGAAGAAGGCTTATCCAAGATGAGAGCCCTGCGCGTGGGGGACACTGATGCGCCCGGGAAGGCTGCCCAAACAAACCGGCGAGCACCGCCGTCGCCCCCCCCCCCCTTCCTCGATGTCTATTCCCGAAGGCATCGCGCATGCTTGTCTGGAATATATGCGGGACAGCTGGTGGCCGCCGCGAACCCCCAGAACACATCTGTCTGGGAATCTGAATGAGCAGACAGATTCAGAGCACAGCAAGTCCTCGCGAGTCGCGCTGCGAAATCACATGGGAGATTGCGGGTTACCTTGCATTGGAGGATCCGCCGCAATGCCTCAACTGACGGCGTAACAAAAAGGCCCGGCCGGCGGAAGTCCCTCTCCTCCCCGAAGAGACTGCCACCTGCGCGTGCCAAGGCGGCGTGCGGCTCCCGGAAAAGCTTCCCCCGGAAGAAAGGCATCATTTTGCCGCAGTGCACCTCCCGCAGCCAGAAGAGCCTAATCTCACCTACACGCGCTCACGATCGCGCAGAGAGAAGACCCCCCCCCAGAGACATGCCCCTCTGGTGGGCGCTCTCCATTCGCGAGGGCGGACACTGGGCGACGGGGGCCCGTCACATGAAAAGCGTCCTGCTTTCACGAGCATCAGCTTCGGGCCTGCTGATGTGACCGCTGGGCGTGTGGCCCCATCGGTTCGCAAGTGACAGCAGCGATGAGGTGGCCATTATTATCATTATTATTGCTATTGTCCTTTCGAGCCCCCGCCGACCAGGGAAGCGCGCGGGGCAAGAGGAACGCCCGGCCCTCTGGCGTTTTAGAGAGCATAAGAGGACACGAGAGCCAGGAGGACGGCCAGGGCACCGGTGGCCAGGGCGGCCGGCTGGTTGAAAAGCGACCCGGCGGAGTTGCAGTTGTAGGAGCCCTTTCCAATCTGGATGTTGGCAGCATGGGACTTCGGGTTATGCAGGCGGCAGGCCAGCACGAGAACGCTCATGGCCGTGTTGCAAGTCGACGAGGAGATGCAGTTGTTCTTGTCGTACACCAGACGAGAGCAGGTGGAACCGCAGGCGGCGTCCGCGGTGTCGCACTTCTTCTTGTACTTGTTGTCGCGGTTCTCCTGGTCCGCGGCGGAGCAGCCACCCAGAGCCGAGACACCGGTGGCTGGAGGCGAAGGAGCAAGGTCGGGGAGGGGGAGGGGGGAGTCAGTGCCAGCGGGAGGGGAAATGACAAAGAAGGCGAGCAGTCGCCACAGCAAGACGACCGAGAGAGAGAGAGAGAGAGAGAGAAGGAGACAGGTAACATACTGGCGACCGCGAGCAGGAGCAGGACCAGGAAGGAGGCAAGTTGAGAGCGGCGCATGGTGGCGAGGAGGCAAGCGAGAGCGGCGAGAAGCAAGAGGGGGTCCGAGAAGGTGCAGGGAGAAAGTGTGTTGCTGCCTCTCCGTGTGTTGGGAATCAAGGACAGGGCGTCCTTTATAGCGTGTCGTTTGTTTTGCCTGCGACCCCATCGCCCACGGCCGCCCTCCTTCGGACCTGGACCCGAGTCCCGGGAGACTGTGCTAGCCGATGCAGGCCGGGAAAAAGCGCCCCGCCTGGGCTCGACCCCACCTCGGGGCGCCGGCGCGTCGGCAAGATTTTTTTTTTGTTGGACTCGCTGGCAGTGGAGGGAGCTCAGAGGTGATGAGAATCCTTGACTGTGGGCATCCCCATATGGGGGAGAAACCAATCACTGAACGAGAGCTGATTCATCTCCCCCTCCTCGCAGCCCCGGAGCCCCGGTATCCGGGTGGCCCGGGGAATGACCACACCCCGTGGGATGGATGGCCGAGCATTCCTGAGACTCGGAGGCATTTTGATCCGGAGCCCCGGGCCGCACGCGGGTCAGAGCGGGAGGAGAGCCAGACCCCACGCGCCGTGTGGCCTCTTATAAGCCAGGGGCCCGGAGAGGGTCTTCTCGCAGCCTTGATTTTGACCTTCTCTTCGCAGGCATCAGCCGCAAGCAATCCCCGACCGAAAAAGGCATGAGCCCTGGGGGGGCTGCCACGGAATGGGCGCCTTATTTCCGGAAGGCTTAGTTGGCAACTCCTGCCCAAGAGCCCGGTCGTTTCCTCGGTCACACACACACACACACGCACACATGCACGCGCACATATTCACCTTCCGAAAGCATCCACATCACAAACGCCTGTGTCTTGAAGACTGAGTGGGCCTCCTTTGCGGCGGCGGCGGCGGCGGCGGCGGCGGCAGTGTTTGAGCTCCCAAGGACCGGCAAGCCGGCAGAGTCCCGCCAACACCTTTTCCCGGTCCCGCCACGCGCCTATTGCCAGCCACGCCCCCCCCCCCCCCCCCCGGGGCGGCGCGGGGGGGGGGGGGGGGGGCGAGGAGGGAGATCGGAACGCGTTGCACACCAAATTGGCCCTATACATGCCCTCATCCCTGCTTGGAAGATCGGGGCCAAGGCAGACGCCGGGCGAACAGGGACCCTAGAATCATATAGCGGAATTTTGGACCTTCTTCCGGCGTGATCACTCGCCGGGGCGTGTTGCTGTCCCGCCGTGTAGTGGAATCCCCATGTAAACGATAGATGAAGCAACACGTGAGTGAATTGCCACACGTGTTACATCGTGGGAATGATAGCATCCCAGAACAGCATTCCTCGGAGAGGAATGCGGGGTAGAACAACAGCCAGGTGGCCGCCGAGGCCGAGCGGCATAAGCGCTCGACCGAGGACGGAGATACGCGGGTGGGCGGGCCCAGCCGCGGGGTTCTCAGTTTCAACCCCTGACCGAGCCCAAGGGTCAAAAAGGGGGACTCTCGTTGAGAGCCTCCTGAGAGCGAAAGCCTTAGCAGCTGTGTGTCGAAGAGTATACGGAAGTATAGCCGAAGCACCAGTTAGGCCGACGAACACCTGTTCTAAGGCTTCCTCTCGAACCCTTTTTAACATCCGAGTTCCTTTCTATTTTCGCTTGCCACTAACTCGTCTCAAGCCGAGTTACTGACTCATCTGGTAACAGACGACCGTGAACCGCTGGTTGGTATGTCCCCTCCTTCATGCCAAGAGGTTACTAACCAGGTGGCAGATCACACTGGTACCCTTCGTCA